TGCCACAATCCGCTGCGAAGAAACGGACATGGCATGGCCCGGGTTTACAATCCTTGCCAGCCGCCCGCATCCAGGGGCTTTCTGGACAACGCGCCCCCACCTCCGGCAGCCGCGCCTCCCAGCGGCTTCCTCTTTAAAGGCCCAGGACGGCAGAACGGGGTGGGAGGGGGGAGGGTTTAGGGCTTAGGGCTTAGGGTTTAGGGTTTAGGGTTTAGGGTTTAGGGTTTAGGGTTTAGGGTTTAGGGTTTAGGGTTTAGGGTTTAGGGTTTAGGGTTTAGGGTTTAGGGTTTAGGGTCTTATCAACAAGAACATAGTATCAAAAATTGGATGAGGATATTTGTAAACTCTGAACTCGCTCCTAACCCGTTGCGCGCAGGAGCTCCTTCGAAGGTTTTCTACCCCATCCCCAGCAAGATGTCGCCAGCTGGAATTGAGGCCAGTGTTCGGTCTTTGCTTTCAGGCGCTTTCAAAAAAAGGGGTATGCGGTGGAGCGCCATCGGATCGAGCCGTGAGCCTGATACATGTTACTCTGGTAGCTGGAATCCCTAAATCCTCAACCCTCAACCCGAAACGCTAAACCCTTATAAATCTCTGCACCTATTCCCTGGCTTGGATTTCAGCACCCCGAAGTCCTCGATGGCTCCTCAAGCCCCCCCCCCCTTCCCCGAACCTGCCGAGTCGACCTCTTAGTTCTCCCAAAGCTTTTTTCAAAGCCTTGTGGAAGGAGTTAAATGAGGTTTAGGGTTTAGGGTTTAGGGATAGCGATGATATTGCTGACTGTATATAGGATCCTTTTACATCTTGGTGAGTGTTCTTTCATATGGGGTTTACAAGGAGTTCCCGTGGGACTCGTGGGGGTTCGTATGAGGCTGTCGATTATGGGTTTTTCTCGGGTGTATTTAGTGTTACGCAGTAGTGAAAGCTCTACTTGCGATGAACCCCCCATGTGTCCCCTCAGACAGTCTTTTGTATCCCTGTACAAGCTCTAAACCCCAAAGCCCGAAGCCCTAAACCCTAGACACGGTGGGGACTCCAACCCTCGAGCCCCCCAACCCCGCAGAAGCCTTTGTAAGCCAAACCCGAAACCCTAAACCCGAAACCCGAAACCCTAATCCCTAAAACCCTAAACCCTAAACCCTAAAACCCTAAACCCTAAACCCTAAAACCCTAAACCTTAAAACCCTAAAGCGCCAAACGGTGCAGGTGGTACCTGACATCGGGCCCCTTGGTGAACCCACACCGGAGGCCCTCAGCGCGTGAGGGTTGAGTTGGAGCCCTAAACCCTGAACCCTGAACCCTGAACCCTAAACCCTGAACCCTAAACCCCAAACCCAAAACCCTAATCCTAAACCCTAAACCCTAAACCCTAAACCCTGAATCCTAAACCCCAAACCCTAAACCCTAAACCCAAGATCCCGGAGCCGCCCCAACTCCTAAGCGAGGGTCGCAGCCCTCTATAGACCTACAACACGGCCAAACGAGCCTCTGAGACTACGTAGGGTCTGCAGGGTTTCGGGGATCAGGTTTAGGGGTTTAGGGTCTAGGGTTTAGGGTTTAGGGTTTAGGGTTTAGGGTTTGGGGTTTCGGGTTTGGGGTTTAGGGTTTAGGGCTATGGGTTGGGGGTTTAGGGTTTAAGGGGTTGCTGTGAGATCTTGGTGCCTGGAGGTGCCGACGGGCATGATGAATGCCCTTGGCGCGACTTGTCTCAACCGCAGGGCTGTTCTAAGCCCTAGGGTTTAGGGTTTAGGGTTTAGGGTTTAGGGTTTAGGGTTTAGGGTTTAGGGTTTAGGGTTTAGGGTTTAGGGTTTAGGGTTTAGGGTTTAGGGAAGCCCTACCCCAGAGGTTCCCATTTGTTCACCACTTTGGAATTAGGTATCCCAAAAACCTGATTAGAATGGTTTCCGGCTACCTACTTCCATGGCAGTACCGCAAAAGGACCCTAAACCCTAAACCCCAAACCCTAACCCCTGAAGCCTTAAAAACCCCAAACCCCAAACCCCAAACCCCAAATCCCAAACCCCAAAGCCCAAACCCCAAACCCCAAACCCCAAACCCCAAACCCCAAACCCCAAACCCCAAACCCCAAACCCCAAACCCCTAAACCCTAAACCCCCCCAAACCCCAAACCCCAAACCCCAAACCCCAAACCCGAAACCGTAAACGCTGAACCCTGAACCTTAAACCCTAAACCCGAAACCCTAACCCCTAAACCCTCCCCCCCCCATCGAGGGCTGGTTAGGTGGGCTTTTGGGGGGGAGCAAAGGTGGGCCCCTCCTCCTTCGACTCCACAGGCTGGCCTTTGGTTGTTTTTGTTTGGGTTTAGGTGTAGGGTTTAGGGTTTAGAGTTTAGGGTGTAGGGTTTAGTTTAGGGTTTAGGGTTTAGGGTTTAGGGTTTAGGGTTTAGGGTTTAGGGTTTAGGGTTTAGGGTTTAGGGTTTAGGGTTTAGGGTTTAGGGTTTAGGGTTTAGGGTTTAGGGTTTAGGGTTTAGGGTGTGGGCTTTGAGGGTTGTTGGGAATTGGAAAGGGTCTTGGGATAGAGTAGAGGGCTTAAGGGCTTTGGGCCTTAGAGCAGTCGCGTCGGGTTTTTGTGGCTTGAAGCTTGGCTATCTTGGGGAAACCCTAAACCCTACGCCCTAAGCCCTAAGCCCTAAACCCTAAACCCTAAGCCCTGAACCCTGAGCCCTAAACCCTAAACCCTAAAACCCTAAACCCTAATTCTTGCAGCCGTCCTTGTGCTTGGCCTCAGTTTGCCGGGAGAGGGATGCGTTTTTGAGGGTATCCTACATCTTAAGCATGCTCAACTCAAGGTTGAGTACAGGGCTGGAAGGCCATCAAGCAAGCGAACTTGCCTAAATCAAGATCCACGCTGAAATCCCGAAGCCCTAAACCCTAAACCCTAAACCCTAAACCCTAAACCCTAAACCCTAAACCCTAAACCCTAAACCCTAAACCCTAAACCCTAAACCCTAAACCAAGATCCACGCTGAAATACAGACCGGACGGACAGCCCCCGCTGCAGGCGCTGCGGGCAACATGCTGGCTGGCAAGCTGACGGGAGGGAGCAGCTTCGGTTTGTGAAATCGCCCTTTGTTGGATGTGCCCTACTTACCCTAAACCCTAAACCCTAAACCCTAAACCCTAAACCCTAAACCCTAAACCCTAAACCCTAAACCCTAAACCCTAAACCCTACACCCTACACCCTAAACCCTATACCCTATACCCTGTACCCTAAACCTTGCGTAGTGAGGTGTTCCGCTTGGCACCATGTAGCTGTCAGCACATGAAGTCGCGTTGACAGAAGGCGGGCCCCAAGACAGATGGAGACATGCCCTAAACCCTAAACCCTAAACTGTAAACCGTAAACCCTAAACCCTAAACCCTAAGCCTAAACCTTAAACCCTACACTTTAAGCCCTAAACCCTAAACCTTAAACCCTATAGGCCCAAAAGCCAAAAGCATCGCACACCCTCCCCAGGCCCCGCGTGACCTCAAAGCCTATGGGTGTTCACGATAATCAGGGATCCCTCATATCGGCCGCTTGTAATAAGGACCCCAATAAGGTTCCCGAATATCGTAAGCCCCCACATCGTCTGCCCAAAGTTGGCAAAGTCACGCCGAGCTCTTTGCGGGCACGTCAAAACAAAAAGACTCTCCTTCGGCGGATGGCGATGGGGCTTTTTGGGCTTTGATTTCACCGTTTCCCACGCGGCACTTACTGGCCCTCAGTAGGGAATACGGGAATGAGGTACCCTATAAACCCTGAAAGGATGCACATTTTTCTGTATATATATATATATATCCGTATATATGCAGATATATGTATATGTGTGTGTATGTATAATCTGTAGGGGGATAGAAGGTACCTAATTCTCATTCCAAGAACTAGGGGATAGGTGAGTCAGGACCACCGCAAGAATGTTCAGGAAGGCAAAAGGAGCATAGGGGTAAAAGGCCGAATAGAAGGGCCTCAATAGATAGAATAGGGTTTCTTTGGGGGCTTTATAGTAAAGTATAATGATATGAGTGAAGCATGAGGGAGTAGTAGAAGTAGCTATTCCGACCCTGAGCCCTGAGCTACCCACCCAGGTCTATGGCCCGCTAGTCAACGCCCTCCCACCCGTATAGACTTGAAACTCCCAAGGGTTTCGGGTTTCGGGTTTAGGGTTTGGGGTTTAGGGTTTAGGGTTTAGGGCTAGGGTTTAGGGTGGGGTATAGACTTGAAGCTCCCAAGCCAAGGCTGAAAAGGTCAGGCATCCAGGGTTCAGGGGTTTAGGATGTCGGGTTTAGGATTTAGGGTTTGGAGTTTAGGGTTTCGGGTTTGGGGTTGGGGGCTTAGGGTCTAGGGTTTAGGGGTGCCGAGGCTCGTTTTCCTACAGGGAGGGGTTAGGGAGGTAGATCTAAAGACCTAGGCGTCCCCAACCCGCTGCTTCTGCCAGAAACCCCGAAGCCCTAAACCCCAAACCCTAAACCCTAAATCCTAAACCCTAAACCCTAAACCCCAAACCCTAAACCCTAAACCCTGCACCCTATGCCCCCCCAAAAACCGCAACGCAGGATGGAAGGCTCAGTAGAAGTTTTGTGGATCCGATGCTCCGATAGCTAGGGACTGCCCCCCGCGCGGCCGGGGGCCTTGGCCTGACTTTTGCAGTCCTGACCGAGGGTTTGGGGTTAAAGGGTTTAGGGTTTAGGAGTTAGGGTTTGGGGTTTAGGGTTTAGGGTTTTAGGGTTTGGGGTTTGGGGTTTAGGGTTTAGGGTTTAGGGTTTAGGGGCCGCATTACGTCTACAATTGGTGACCCAGACGTGCTGCGGGCCCATCACACTAACTCGGACTTCCTGTCCCCTGGCAGCGGGGTTTCGGGTGAAGGGTTTTGCTGGCATTGCGACCTGAGGATTAGAGAGTTCGTAGTCTTGGGGCTATGGATGAGTTTAGGCCTATGGGCTGTATGTCGATCTCGATCTCTTCCCCGTCACCCTCACTCCCTCCCTCTCTCTCTCTCCCTCTCTCTACTCTCGCTCTCTCTCCCTCTCTCTCTCCCCCTCTCTCTCCCTCTCTGTCCCCTCTCGCTCTTGCTCTCCCTCTCGCTCTCGCTCTCTTCTCGCTCTCGCTGTCTCTCGCTCTGCCTGTCTCTCTCTGTCTGCCTGGCTGCTGTCCGTCTGCCTGCATATAGACATAAGCATGAATATGAATACACTAAGTATGAATATCTCTTCAACAAAATGCATATACATGTATATATATGTATATATATATATATGTGTATACACATATTGATAGATACGTACACACATACATGTACAGAGAGATGGATGTGTGCCAGGATGCGGAGACATCCCGCCTTAACTTTGGAAAAATCGCTGTAAGCCCCCCCTCCCCCTTGCCCCCCCCCCCCCTCCCAGGGCTCACGCATGAAGCCCCCCAAGCCCTGAAGCGCTTAACCGAGCGCTGACGTGCAGCCCTTGTCCCCTCTGTCCCAGAGGGGGCCAAAACCCAATCCCTAGATCCGGTTCTGGCAAGAATCTCGGTTAAGTTCCTGAGAATACCTCCTCGTTTATTGTGTAAAGCTTGAGCACATGCCGTAACAAACACTCACATTTAGGAAAGCCCAATAAGCAGCATGATTTGTATAGTGTACATACCCGCTGTGTTTTGGATCGCAGGCGCCTTGAGCTATAGGCAAAAGTGTGTCCCTGGTGTGCGCCCGTGTTCAAACTGGTAGCGGAGCTTGCTTGCTCCTTTATTGGAGGCAGTTCCGGCGGGCCCATTGGGTTGGAGTGTGTGTGAGTGAAAGCCGAACTACATTTTTCCCAAGTCCTCTGACCGATCGGCTGAGGCAACGTCGAACTATTGTTGGTTGATTGCGAGAGGAGTGCTACGATCGATTTGACGTAGTGACACGATTGCTTGGTTGCATGGTGTGATCGTTCGACACATCAAGAAGCAAGTTGGTTGTTGGTATCTTGGATCATGACAGTTGCAGGTTTGAGATATCGACAAAAGGTGTACGATGCAGCCCCCACAGTCACGAAGAATGGTAGTTTCATCTACGGAGGATCGCCAGAAGACTACCATGAGTGGGAGTTCCGAACACAGTTACGGATTGCAGCCCAAGAACAACGATCCCGGAAAGTTCGTAAGAAGAAGAAGGATGAGTCGTTTACAACTTCAAGCAAGCCCGAGACAGGGAAGAAGGAGAGAACCCCGAAGGGAGCATCGTCAGAGAGAGGGTCGGAGCATGGACCTAGATCGGAAGGGTCGTTTGATGGGCTGATGAGCGTGGCCGCGATCAAGATGGCGATTCAGAAGAAGATGATGACGGCAGGATGGAAACAGTTCTTAAAGTGCTTGAGGGTTTGAGAGGTGATGCTTTCCAGAAGGCGAAGGATTTGGGCATTGCCAAGTTGGGTGAAAAGAATGGACTTCAAGTTCTGATTGATGAGATAAAGAGGATGGTTTTCCCGCTTGGTACACAGGAAGCTCAGGCTTTGTTCCGCAGTGGTCAGGACAAGTTCGGACCCTTGGCTAGGCAGCAGACCGAGTCTGTTGTCAGCTACGTAGGCAGGCGCCGTCGTTGGTGGCTGCTCATGCAACAGCTAGATCCTCGGATTAGTCTTTCGGACAGTTTGAGGGCCGAATTGCTACTGGAACTTAGCGGTCTGACTAGAGATCAGCAGTTGATGATCAAGGCATGTGCCGGTGGGATAGATACCTTTGAAGGTTATGCGAAGATCATGATTGAGCATCACGGACTGATTCACCTACGCAGTCAACGCATCCTTGGGTCACAGGACAGTTGGCCGAAGGGCAAAGGAAAGGATCAAGGGAAAGGTACTACGAAGGGTTTCCCAAAGGGAAAAGGATTCGGAAAAGGATTCGGTTCTTCAAGTGCCTCACCTGGATGGAAAGCGTATGTGGCAGAAATACCCGGAAGCATGCCTGAGAACGTGATGTACACCCATGAAGAAGAAGAAGAAGAAGAACACTGGGGTTATGTCACTAGTGCACATGAAGAGCAGTATGAGGCGGAGAGTTGGTGTGACGATGAAGCTAGTCATGCAATGGTGACTCAGAGTAGCGAGATGGAACAAGTGGAAGAGGTGTCGGATGAAGACGTGGCTACCGCCTTGAACGTGATGGAGTCTTGCGATCATGAAGCCCACATGGATACCACAGCCGAAGCAATTCAACTTCAGCTAGCCGCTAACATGATCATGGGAAAGGCTGGTGGTAAGGGCAAGAAAGGCTCGGGGAAAAGTAAAGGCCAGAAGGGTTTCCCTGTGGTGAAGTCTAGCTTGACCATAGAAGAGAGGAAGAAGAGACTGCAAGAGATAAAGTCCCGATCGAAGTGCCTGAAGTGTGGACAGGTAGGTCACTGGAGCGGAGATCCCCAATGCCCCAAGGGACGCGGAGCGCCCAAGGTTCCTCCGAAGCAGGCTTTCATTGCGACTCTGTCAGATTCTAGCGATGATGGTGAGGATTGTCTGGTGATTTCCGATGGAGGACAAGGGACGCCTCATGCCATGATGGCCTACAAGGCAGGCGCAACGCCGAAGTCAAGCGCCGCACCTAGACTGTCACCTTCCCAGGTACGTGATCTGGGTAGTCAGGTTGTGCCACCTGGAGGGAATCAGAGATTCAAGTTCGGGCAACATACAGGGTTGTCGTTTGAGGAAGTGACGTGGAAGTACCCGGGATATGCGGTATGGGGATTCAAGGAGAAGAAGCCTTCGTTGTATCTTGCAGCATATCTGGATTGGGTGCGCAACTACTACGAGATCGATGAAGATACAGTAGAGGTCACTAGGCGAGAGATTCCTCTCGACCGCATGGGACCATCTCAAGCCTCTGGACCGTCCGGCCAGGGAGCGCAAGTATCTGCACCAGCATCATCCAGTCACTATACGGCGAAGAAGAAGCCCCCGAATCCTCCACTCCCGGTGAAGTGCAGGGTGTGTACTGTAAGGACGTCAGCACACATGGAACCAATGCGTACGTAACGGTGAGGACTTGCAGGGATTGTGGGCATGTTGAGAAGATAAAGAAGACCCAGCCAGAGAAGAAGGACATCACACAGTGCAGTCATGAGCATACGAGCAGATTGGGCAGTTCTAGATCGACGATGAGAGTCTTTTGCAAGGATTGCGGAAATTTCATCGATGAGATGCCACGAGAAGAAGCAAAGCGCAGAGAGACGACAGGTAAGAGCATCGCATCAGCTACGTCGCAGTCGTTTGATCTGGTATCTAACATCTACCAAGACATCACAAATGAGACCCAGCTGAGTACCGCTCAAGTCCTGAGAGTTCTTGATGATCTTCGAACCCAGGTAGAGAATGAGTTGGTAGCGCAAGATTGTGCAGGGGAAGTACCGTCTATCAAGGTGGGTACGCTACATGCAATCGTGCAAGACAGTGTTCTAGCAGCAGTGGTAGAAGAGGAGAGACCACAACCCCCGACAACGACGCAGATCCCCGACATGCCGTCACGCGCACGCGCTTTCCCAGGTCATTCGATGTCAGCAGCTGCGGGATGCGAGAGACGAAGGACCACGATGTCTGACATGGATGAAGATAGCTTGAGTGGGTACATGGCGGTTCTTCAGGATGACGAGGTTGCTTTGACCCTACCCGAGGTAGATTTGATGTCCAGCCCTGACATTTACGCAGTGCTTGATGAAGGTGCAAATAGCTCCGTTGCGGGTGGAGTATGGATGCGTAACACAGAGCAGAAGCTACACCGCCTGGGGTTTGAGGCTCCATGGATGAGTTCGGAGGCCAAGACCTTTAACGGGTTAGATTCCACCACTTCTACCCTGGGTACGAGACGCATTCCCTTTTCCATATTGTTATTCGACCTTGACCGTTCCGGCAAGGGCAAGACATATGAAGGGGATGAACCCGAGCTTAGTGGAAGGAATTTGGTGTCGGGACTTCTGGATGTTCACGTTCTTCCGGAGTCGAACAACGCCCCTTTGCTGCTCTCCCAATTTGCTCAATGTCGGCTTGGACTGGTCAAGAACATGAGGGACTTTACATGCACGATACTCAGAGACAACATAGAGATGCATGTGCCACTAGCCCGTGCAAAAGGAAGCAACCTCCTATGCATCAACCTCAGCACTGGTCTGAAGCATCGCAGCGTACTACCGAAGGGAGTACGAAAGCTTTCGACAGCATCAGCGAATGGACCCATAGTGCTACCCCGGAACAAGAAGGCACGGAGTCACGAGAGGCAAGATGATCGGAATGAACCATGCAACGAACGTCCCCAAGACGATTCCCCAACCCTTGAGGGTCGTTTGAAGGGTGGAGAGTTTGGTTTCACCGATGGCCCTGTGAACTCTGATCCTGCGAGTCTTGTGAGCTCAGACAAGCCCTCGAGCTCTGGCGATCTTTTGGATTTGGGTTCCGATCTTTTGCATACCGCTGCGACATCCACTACTTTTCCCGGCGAAGCTGAGACATCTGGTGGTTCCTTGAGTTCCGATTTTTTGCCCGACACCGCGAGTCTTGATACATCTGCGAATATGGCTGCGAGCAGGCCGGCTGGTAATCGCACGACTGTTTTTATTGGCTCCGTGGGCGTTAGAATCAACTCTTGGGCATCGCAGTGGAAGGCGTATGCAGATGGCCATAAGCAGTACGACTCTGAGGCTAAACGGGCCGCGCTCGAGCTGGTGAGATCAGTTTTCGGGCCCCAGGTGCCCAGCAACGCTTCATGTTTCGTCTGCGACCTCGCTGCAGTATCCGACCCGGCACCCATCACGAACCATATAGGGAAGAACCCCGCTATTTTGGATCGGGTGGCGCATGCCCCGGCTTTGGTCAATGCTCTCGCTGGCCTACGCACCTGGGTAGCTAAGAGCACCCGTTTGCACTGCTGCGAGACACCGATCTGTGGCCGCTTGTGAGCTGACCACAGCTATCCTCGATGCTGAGTGCAATTTTGAGATCGTACACGCTGGTCGCGATGACAGTTGGGCATCTATGCGCTCCTGTTTCGGCCGTTGCTCGAGCTGTAGCTGGGAGTCGACCAATCATCCTGCAGCTGTCGCTAAGGTCATGAAGGACATGCGACGCAGCATCGCCTACACCCACGTTAGCTGGGATGAGCCGACGCTGCGGGGCTCTGGATGGTACGGGCCGTGGAGACGAGCGGTGCCATCTCAGGAGGTCGTCGACCTGGAGCAGGAGACGCCCAGGCCTTCGCAGAGGCACCCTGGGGCATACAGCGGCACGGACCGCGTGCGAGAAGTGCTCACGAGCTCAGGAGCCTCGGATCGTGACCTTTCCTCGCAAGAAGCTGCCCTGCAGGCCGAGAACGCGAGGCTGCGCATGGAGCTGCTGGCTGCGGAGAACGATCGCCTGAGGAGCGAGCTGCAGTCTTTGCAGGGAGGCCGAGATCCAATCCCTCGGAGAAGGGAGCCGACTGAGCTTCGCAGCGATGCTGATGTGAGGGGCCGAGCTGCAGCTAGGACTGAGGCTCGCACTCGCGAGACATTGCAGAGGTCGCGAACGCCACGCATTTTGCCTGCGGAACCTAGTGTGCCACCACCGCTTTGGAAGAGGATCCCGCGAACCAGCGGCGCTATTGCGGATGATTGGAGGCATGACATCACCCACGAGGTTGGTCCGCGGCTGGATCGTGGCATTTTGGCGGAGTTGTTGGATACATTGGGCTCGCGTATTAGCAGCAAGTTTCTCCGTTGCAAGCAGGAGCTTTGGTGCGGTCCTTCAGATGAGTTGCAGACGGCCGAGAACTTCCGGCAGAACATCCGTGTTGTTTTGTATGATGTCCGTAAGGGCATGGATATGAAGCAGTTGCCACGTTTTGTTGCGGTTCCTCGGGAGATGCATCCTCTGAGTTGGAGTGAGGTGGCCTTCACGAAGCGTGGTCGGACGTGGACATCTCGGGAAGGAGACGCGGGGTCTACCGAGATCGATTCTGGAGCCGACTTCGTCCTGGTCGTGCAGCACCCTACGTATCACAGCAGCCTTGCGTATGAAAAAGAGAAGCAGGCCTACACAGCAATCATGAACCCTACCCAGCGCAACAGTTACCGATCTGGTGTTCGCACGGTTTGCATGATGGATAGATGCACAGCTATGGTCGCTGGTATTCCCTCGTACAGCCCAGACTCAGATCCCGCGACTACCCTGATACTCATCCATGACAACCAAGAGTTCCCCTTGTGTCCCGGAATTTCCCAAATGTCGCCGAAGGATTACAAGATCACCCGACTCGTCCACGAGATCAACGAGCACAGGCCAGGTCTGATCGTGTACAAGGCTTTGGAACCGGATTCTAAGATCATCATGGATTTGCTTTGTGAGTCTGACGCCTCAGGAGTGACTGTTTGCATCCTGTCTCCCATGTCCATGATGCCTTACTGTGGAGTGTACACCCATGAGTGTGAGGGAGATGCGGATATGGTGTGCGTTGGACCGTTGGCCCGCACTATTGGGAAGGACATCTGCGTGTGGTTTGAGGGTGATGGTTACACACCCAAGGCATATCAGGACACAAATCAGCATAAGTTCGTAGATCTCATGAAGACCATTGCTGATGAAGCGTACCTCGAGATGATGTCGAGCGCGATGGTTGCAGCCACAGGTGGCGATTTGGACGATGTGCCTGATTACGAGCCTGACACACCCGAAGGGTCGGATGTTGAAATCGCTGGAGGTGTTGGAGATCTAGAAGGGGTATCTTCAGGAGGCGTTGAAGAAGCACAGATGAGAGAAGAACAGGAGAGATTGGTTGAGCAAGCCATGAAGCCGCCAATGACACCCGAGGAACGTGAGAGAGCATGGCTAGAATCCCTTCCCCTTCCAGGAGTGCCCAAAAACGAGCAAGAGAGGAGAGCGCTGTGGCGCAAGCTGCCGCAGAAGGTCCGAGTGGCAATCCGTCGATTGCACAGGCAGTTCAATCACCCTGCTCCTAGGACCCTCGAAGCGATCTTGAAGGCAGGAGGTGCTTCAAAGGAATTCGTGCAGGCTGCCAAGCTTGTACGATGCGACACATGCATCAAAACATCCGGGAAGCCGAGAGGACACCCGGTGGGGTCTGGAACGAAGGAGTACCAGGTTGGAGATGCGGTGGTTGATTCTGACAAACAGCGGTTTCAGTGCATGAATATGGTCGACATAGCCTCTGGTTTCCAACAACTTGAGGTTCTGCGCCCAGTGTCGAAAGAGCATCAGGGGCCGCCGAGTGCAGAGATGTGTTTGGAGGCAATACAACGCTGGGTAACCTGGTTGGGACCCCCGAAGGTCTTAATGGCCGATAGGGGCACCCACAACCGGGGGTTGCTCTCCAAGTGGGCCGCAGAGAAAGGAATCGACCTGAAATATGCTCCTACTGAGGCTCCATGGCAACTAGGAAAAGTCGAAAGACATGGTGGCCTAGCCAAGGCCATAGTTCGCAAAGTGATCCATGAAACGCCGGTGCGTGGAATCACGGAAGTCAGGCGGGCTGTGCAAGAGGTAGTGGCCATCAAGAATGCTATGGTCAACTCTGGGGGCTATAGTCCTCAACAGTGGATCACAGGCCGCAATCCGACCGAACCTGGTGCCCTCACCCATGAGGATGGATGGGCAGACCTGGGTGCCTTGGAGGCGAGGCACAGCAAGGACAGCGAGTTCGCCCAGAGACATCAGATGAGGATGAACGCCAAGCGTGCGATGATTCATCTAGATTGCAGCCGAAGAGTCCAAAAAGCCCTCACCCGCAACGCTGTCGCTATCCGTGAAGATTATTTGCCTGGCGATTTTGTAGTGTACAGGCGGGACATGCAGACTGGTGGGACTAAATGGAGCTCGGTAGCGCGGGTTATCGGGAAAGAAAACTCGGAATCGGTATGGGTGGTGCGTGCAGGCATTCCCATCTTGTGCTCAGCGCATTCCTTGCGTCCTGCGTCCGAGGAGGAAGTGATGTCCCATTGCATGTTGAAAGGGATCCCGATTTTACCTGAGAGTCTGACAGAAGGGCCCCGAGGGAAGCAAGGGTTTATTGATGCTAGAGAACCGCTGGAGGTCTCGGAACAGCAGCAAAACTCGCCCGAAGCAGGTAGCTCAGAGGACCCTCGAAAGCCCAAGCCGTCTAGACAACCGCCAGATTCGCCCGAAGCAGGAAGCACACAGGACCCGAAGAAGCGGAAGATCGTGGTGAAGCAGGCCGAGGATGCCCCAATCGGTGCGAGCTCGAGTTCCAGTTCGAGTTCAAGCAGTGACTCGGAAGATGATGCTAAGATAGCAATAGATAAGACGGGCGAAGACAATGAAGCATTTGCCGTGGAGGAGATTGCCATGTCACAAGCAGAGCAGATGGCCAAAGAGGCGCTAGACAGAGGCGATTTCAGGCCAGGTACTTGCTTAGAAATCCTGAGGGCAACAAAGATGAAGCAACGGAAAGGGGAACGAGAAGCGACAAAATCCGGGAGAAGCTACAGCCTGGGTGCCTATGCGCATGGACCGTTCGCAGGTTTGACGAATGCCACCATGGAACAGGTATGGTTTGTGAGGTATGTGAATGAGTACCTGAAGGCAAAGGGTGCAACCGAAGGGTGGTCAAGTTTCGTGGTGAATTTCAACACAGAAGCAAGTTTGCACAAGGACTCCAACAACCTGCCCGGCTCCATGAACCAGCTCACAAGCCTAGGTCCTTTCACAGGAGGAGAATTGTGGGTCAGGGACTCGAGTGCTCGTGGAAAGCATGCAGAGTATGAGGGCCGCGCGGGTAGACTGTTGGAAAGCAGGCATAAGATGGTTGCCTTTGGCCCTGATCAACCTCATGCGACAGTGCCGTTCGAGGGAGAGCGTTGGTCCATATCCACTTACGCCAGCAGAGGTTACGCCAGCCTGGACAAGGAACAGAGGAAAGCCTTGAAGTCGCTCGGTTTCCACACTGAGCCGCTAGAGGCCCTGATGAAGGACGCCGGATACTTGAGCTACAGAAACGGGGTTGAGATTGATGAGGATTCGGATGTTGCCGAGGAAATGAGTCCTAGCAGTTGGGAACAGGCCATAAATGAGGCGACATCGCATGATGGATCGGAAGACTACTGGCAGGTAATGAAAGGCCACTTCATCCGTGTACACAAGAAGCCCCGCGTAATGCTCTACACCCCCGATGAAAGTGATTTCCCAGGTAGCATTGATGAGATCAGCTATTCCAGAAGCACTTACAAGACGTTTGCAGATGGAACCAAACAGACAGTAGAAGACGAATGGGGAATGATCCGAGAAGCAGACTCGAAGGACAGCCGTGAGTGGACAGGATTTACATGCTTCAAGCAAAAGCTCTTCGGATCGACCGACCTGTCATCGTTGCCGGATGCACCTGTCTCGGATGCAGGTTACATCGCCTTCATGACGGAGAGGTTTGCCAAGACCGCGATCGCAGAAGAAGCAGCTCAGGGTAAGAAGCCCAAGAAACTCGACATCAGAGATGTGGATGAGAGAACGCGTGATGGAATCTTGGGTGCACGCGGCGACGAGTGGAAGAAGTACCAGACATGGAATGCCGCAGTTCCTATCCAAGGTGAGTTGCTGGGCAAACTTTTGCAAGAGGGTCACAAGCCCGTGCCATCCCAATGGGTGGATGTTGACAAACACGAACATCTAAAAGGCACTGAGGCTTACGCCCCCAAATTCCGCAGCAGACTAGTTTCGTGCGGAAACTTTGAGGACGTAGACAAAAGCCAACTGCGATGCGACTCTCCGACGGCGGAAGCCGAAACACACTGCATGATCGCGAGTTATGCAGCTTGCCATCGCCTACGGTTGTACTGTGGAGACGTGTCCTCGGCATACTTTCAATCGGAACCTCTCGAACGTGTGATTCTCATGAAGCAGCCTAGAGGAGGCCTACCAGGCGTGGACCCTGAAGCAATGTTGCTATGCCGGCTTCCAGTGTATGGAACCATGGATGCAGGTCGTGGATTCTTCGTGCGACTCAGCAAGGTTGCTCGACAAGAGGGGCTGAAGATGTCCAAGATCGGCCCTGGACTCTACTACGTTCCTGGAACCGACGGGATACCGGCGATCATGTTGGGGACGCATGTCGATGATCTGCTGTGGGCCCATACAGACGAAGGCAAAAAGCTAATGGACAGAGTATTATCCCACTTTGAGCTAGGAAAGATAGAGGAAGGCGAGTTCCGATATTGCGGTCGACGCTTCAGACAGGACAGTGAGTACAATGTATCCATCGACACGGAGGATAACACACGACTGATCCGGCATATCTCTGTGGAGCAGCATAGGAAGGGCTCAGAGAAGATAACAGATCAGGAAACCACCTCCCTTAGGAGCGTAGTCGGATCTTTAGCCTGGGTAGCGAGGTACTCCAGACCAGACCTCTGCTGCAGGGTCAATTGTCTCCAGCGTTGTATTTCGAAGGCCACAGTAGCAGACCTAAGAGATGCAAACAAGGTTGTAGATCTTGCAAGAGCAGACATGTCGATGTCCATGAACTACCCTGCCGGATTGTTCACATGGAAGGAAGCATGCGTGGTGAGTTTCAGTGATGCTTCGTTTGCTGGAGAGCCAGGTTTCAGAAGAAAGGCAGGGACGCATCCACTACATCACGGCAGAGAGCATGGTAGACACGAATACCCATGTGGCGCACATCATTGGTTATGCTTCCACCACCATCCGTCGCGTATGCCGAAGTACATTGCAGGCGGAGACCTACGGGATGCAAGGAGCAGTCGAGGCAGGGGATCGCATCCGCGCTATTCTCTGTGAGCTCAGAGGTCAGTTGCCAGTGTTGAAGAACTGGCTGGAAGAGTCGCAGAAGCACATGCGACATGAGTGGGTGAGTGACTGTCGCAGTCTTACTGATCATCTGGGTACATGCCATGGAAACAAGGTAACGGACAAAAGATTAGCCATCGAGTTGGAATCAATGAGGCAACAGCTGTGGTGTGAGGACGTCAAGACCCACGAGCTGTACAAGCCCCACGGTGACAAACTGAGGTGGACAGACACTGCCACCCAGGTTGCCGACGCACTCACGAAGAGTATGCGTCCACATCAGCTCTTCCGTATGATGCAGGAAGGGAAAGTCATCCTGAGTGATCCAACGAAAAAGCTCAAGAAAGGAGAAGTCCCAAGCGGAGATTGATTGCATTTTGCAGGTGTGCTGAGCCGTCAATGGCAGCTTAATTAGAAATGTCATCGAAATTGCGAACTAGTAGAGAGCCCGGAAATCGCGCACTAGTAGAGTGCCTGAAATGGTGTCACCTGCACGTTTTCAGTGTACAGGATCCCGGCATGTGTCAATAGATAAGACGGGTGAGAATACCTCCTCGTTTATTGTGTAAAGCTTGAGCACATGCCGTAACAAACACTCACATTTAGGAAAGCCCAATAAGCAGCATGATTTGTATAGTGTACATACCCGCTGTGTTTTGGATCGCAGGCGCCTTGAGCTATAGGCAAAAGTGTGTCCCTGGTGTGCGCCCGTGTTCAAAGTTCCTAAGGAGGTGTAAACCCTAACCCCTAAATGGCGTTTGCAAGGTGAGGGCATCGCCGTCCCTGGCGCCATGCAGGGCTCCCCAGAGATGAAAGCGTGAAACTCCACGGAGGGTCGTTCAGTGTGGCCTAAGACCCAAGGTTCAGGTAGGTTTAGGGTTTAGGGTTTAGGGTTTAGGGTTTAGGGTTTAGGGTTTAGGGTTTAGGGTTTAGGGTTTAGGGTTTAGGGTTTAGGGTTTAGGGGTTAGGGGTTAGGTTTTAGGGTTTAAGGTTCAGGGTTCAGGGTTCAGGGTTTAGTGTGGGCAGCTGTAGATCCCGAAGTCCAGAGCCTGAAGCTCTCCTCACGTAAACCCCCAGACTGATCCAGAAAATAAGATTCTTTTTCTGAGATGCCTGTGCATGCTCTGGAAGAATTTGTAATCCTGCTCCATGTAGCAAGAAGGCCCGCCGTTGAAGCGGGTTTAGGGTCTAGGGTTTAGGGTCTTGGGTTGAGGGTTTAGGGTTTAACAAGGTTAGACCTAATGGTTTAGGAAGGCTCACTGAGAATGCTGGCAGCTAGGGTACACGATGTTCAGGCCAGCTAGGAGGTTGCGAGTTCTTGCATGTGATTCCTTGGGTCGGCTTCGAAACCCTGAGGGTTTAGGGTTTAGGGTTTAGGGTTTCGGTTTAGGGTTTAGGGTTTAGGGTTTAGGGTTTAGGGTTTAGGGTTTAGGGTTTAGGGTTCAGGGTTTAGGGTTTAGGGTTTAGGGTTTAGTCTCCCGAGTCTCCACAGCGATCGAGGTGGGGCGCCGTGCAGTCGCCCGGCCTCCCAACGAAGTTGCGCCCAGAGTTGAGGGTTTAGGGTTTAGGGTTTGGGGTTTAGGGTTTAGGGTTTAGGGTTTAGGGTTTGGGTTTAGGGTTTAGGGTTTAGGGTTTAGGGTTTAGGGTTTAGGGTTTAGGGTTTGGGGTTTGGGGTTTGGGGTTTGGGGTTTGGGGTTTAGGGTTTAGGGTTTAGGGTTTGGGGTTTAGGGTTCAGGGCTTAGGGCTTAGGGCTTAGGGGTTAGGGCTCTAAGTCGGTGTGCGGATGTTTGAGGGCTTTAGGGTGTGGGGTTCGGGTTTAGGGTCTGTTTCAGAGAGAGAGGAGGCGACTAAGATGCCCGACCTGGACTTTTGGATTAGTCCCGAGTGGCTCTCTGCTACTCCATGCAGGAGCTTGGAAGGGGCGGGCTTTCCGGTTGGGGGTGTGTGGCGCGTGGATCCCAAGGCAGCAGCATTATGGCTGGCCGCAGCAGCTGGAAACTGAGTTTGCTTCGGACACTGTCTCAAGCGGATGCGAGTGTTTAGTTGTGAATATCTGTACCGTGAGTTCCTGGATATATGCATATATATATATGTATGTTAGCATATACATATATATATATATACACATGTCTGTATAGAAAACACACATATATATATATATAGACACACACACACACACCCTAGATTCAGAACATTTTAGAACCGTCTCACCCGTTTCCGGTCGGAATCACTTGAGGTTTGGACCCACTTGCCACCGAAACTCCGAACCCCCTTTGGCCCACTCCCAAGGCTCCCCCCCCCCCCCCCCCCCCCCCGCCACTCCCAAGGACTGCATGGCAGGCGCATGCAGCGCCGCCCCCACCACCTCCAGCCAGGGACCCCAGTGCTGAACCTTCATCGACCCTTTAGGTTTAGGCCCTAAACTTTAGGTTTAGGTTTAGGGTTTAGGGTTAAGGAGTTCGGGGGTTTTCGGGGGCTTTTAGGACCTTGGAGTTTAGGGTTTTTGGCTTGGGGTTGAAGGTTTTCTGGGGTGCTCAGGGTTTAGATGGGGGGCTTTTGGGGGTCCAGCATTGGTTTGGGGGGTGGGATGCTGAGTCTGACTTTCTGTGCTCTAGGAACCCATGCTGATGTGCAGTCCTTCGAGAACCAGGAGCCATCCCTAAATCTGGACCCACTGACCCCTCCAAACCCCAGAATCGAAGCCCAAAGCTCTTGGCTCATGCCCTAATTCCTCTGAAATTGCCCCAAACCCTGCCGAAGTCCTACAGCCCAAACCCCTACACCCTGGCCAGGGGCAGAGCCCTGCGAGACCAGCAGGTGCAGTTTGCAGTTGAGGGTTTTTTTCGGGTTTAAGTGTTTAGGGTTGAGGGTTTTCGGGTTTAGGGTTGAGTTGAGGGTTTAGGGCCTGGGGTTTTGGGGCGTAGTATGCTACAAAGGTTCGAGCTTGTATTCCAGAAGATTCTGATGTTTGGGGTTTCAGGTTCAGAATGTGGGTTTGGGGCTTGTCATCATGAGATCTGTCGTCGGCTGATTCGTGATCACTTGATTTAGGGGCCTGAACAATTGGAATGGGATTTTGCGGTTATTGTAGTATAATTACAAAGGGACCATAAGGGACTATTATTAGTAATCATTCTGACCCCTATATTGCTCTTTTTTTCGGGGGCGTGGGGAGGGGGGGTGGGGCGGTGGATGCGGGCTTTGCGACCTGTGGTGTAGGGCTTAGGGTTTGGGGTTTAGGGTTTAGGGTTTAGGGTTTAGGGATTAGGGATTGGGGGCCAGGATTTAGGGTTTGTGTGTTGACGGCGTTAGGGTTCAGGGCTTAGACTTGCAGATCCCGAAATAACATGCCAAGGGATCGTAGTCTCAGACCCGAAGCTCTAAAAGCCCGAAGACCTAGCTGTGCCTTTAAGGCGTCAGCCCTGAACCCGAAACCGAAAAACCCCAAACCCTAAACGCTAAACCCTAAACCCCAAACCCTAAACCCTAAACCCTTATCTCCAGGTGCGGCAGGTGCAGGCGGACATGTTCCCGTGACCGGCGTGAGCAAAGCTGGCGGCATCAGTGGCCAAAGCGTCCCGGCAAAGTCTGGAGGACCCCTTAGAGAGAAAGCCCTAAACCCTAAACCCTAAACCCCAAACCCTAAATCCTTAAACCAAACCCTTAACCCCAAACCCTAGACCCTATTGAAACCAAACCCTATAAGCCCCCCCCGTCCCCACGGAGGTGTAGGGCTTAGGGCTTAGGGCTTAGGGCTTGGGATCTTGGGTTTGAGATTGCACCCGCCAGATTTTTCTGGTTCCCTGTCCCTTGCGGGTGAGTGCGTGCTCGAGGGCTCTTAACTAGGACCCAGAGTAGGCCCTGATTCCTAAAGGGCACCCTTGCTTTCCTAGCTTCCTCTTGGGTCTAGCCAACGAGTGGGGCTGGATTCAGGTTTCGGGTTAAAGAAGATGTCAATGTAGGGTCGGCGCAGCCCTGGGTTCTAACTTAAAACCTTCCGCCCTGCACCTGAACCCCAAACCCTAAGCCCTAAGACCTATATGGTCCCAAACTTGGGATGTTCCCCCCTTCTACTAGCAGTCCTGAATCGGGATTATAGTACCCCCTTTTATAATCCCTATTAAGGCCTTGTAGTATAAGGGAGAACATCCCAACCCCAACCCCCAAATCCAAACCCTAAACCCCAAACCCCAAACCCCAAACCCCAAACCCAAACCCCAAACCCCAAACCCCAAACCCCAAACCCTGAACCCTAAACCCCAAACCCCAAACCCCAAGTGGGGGTGTACAAAATAGGGGAACCCCAATTTAGACCCCAAATAGTAGGGTTCCCATATAACAAGGACAGCAATAAGGTACCCCTAATTTTGGAAACCGCCCAAGTCTTTTTTTTGTTTGCCATCTTTTGCGGTCCACAGAACTCAATAGGGCTCAATGCCTTTGACAACCCCGCCCCCCAATCATAAACCCTAAAGCTTGGGATGTTCCCCCTTTTCTAGCAGTCCTTAATCGGGATTAAACTAGGTGGGGGGGGTGCTATAGTCCCTACTTCGGACTGTTTGTCAACAGGGGAACATCCCAACCTAAACCCCAGACCCTAAACCCCAAACCCTAAACCCCAAACCCGAAACCCTAAACCCTAAACCCTAAACACCCTAACCCCCAAATGTCCAACACGCCTCCGAAGCCCCTGGCGAGGCAAGTCTGCCGGGCCTCCACCCGCCAACGCGTCGGCGGCGAACATGACCAAGGCAAGAGACTGCAACTTTAGAATTTAGGGTTCAGGGTTTAGGGTTTAGGGTTGAGGGTTTAGGGTTTAGGGTTTAGGGTTGAGGGCTCGGCTTGGGTTTTGAAAGGCCTACGCCCTTAGCCGTGAGGCCCCAAGCCCTAAACTCTGCGGGTTTTTTGGTTTTGGGCGTCGCAAGATACGATGAGAGGATTCTAGACCTTGGCAGCCCAGTGGTGCCCTTTACCCTCTTTTTTTGGTTCTGGGTTCCCTTCTAAAGTAACCAACCTAAAAAAATGGGTGCCCTTATTGCAATATGGCTACTGGGCTACGAAGAGACTCAAGACCTCAAGCCAACACATCTTGTGGATGGGGGAGGGGGAGGTCAATGGCACATTCTGAGGGTTGGCTCGGTCAAAATTAACACAAGAACAACAGCCCGAGTTCGTAGAATCCCTGAAGAACAAAGGGTGTGGGAAATGAAGGGCCCCTTGTCGGTACAGGTTGCGGATCCCCTGAACGCTAAACCCTAAACCCAGAAACCCTAAACCCTAAACCCTAAACCCAAAAGGGGCGATGTGTTTTGAAGGACGGCCAAAACAGTGAGGGCATGCATTGGATTTAGTTTGCTGGGGTTTTGGGTT